AATTGTACAAACAGGATCAAAAGGAGAGTCGAGAAGGTACAAAAACCAAGAAAACACGCTAAAAAAATTCTGAAACTATCTTGTTTGGTCTTAAATGTTCTGCACAACCTTATCTACAAAGGTTTTTAATTTTCAAAGTATTTGATAAGAAACATTTCATGCTGGGTGAAAGTAAAGGGCTCTGTGGGAACTTTACATCTATATTGTTATAGACTATCTAGATTTTTGCAACAGTCAAAGATCTGCTGTGGAGAACTTCAGAACCACTTTGAATTAGTAGGATTAGTTTCTCTATTAAAAACGATAAGTTATGCATTCAACAGCTACGGTCTCTATGCTCACTCACAGCACAAAACTCCACAGATGAAGAAAAAGCATTTTGTTGTAGAACAGATGGAGAAGTCCGTTAAATTCTAGAAGAATATCAGGTGAGGCTTAAATTAAACTTTTTAGAAAGCATTGCAAACTGTGAGACATACTCAATTATATACTTGACTATATTCTTACAATAAAATAAGGTTGGACTTTTCAGGAAGACGTTGAGCCCAAACTCAGTAGCAACGAGCCTCTCGAATGATTCCAGAAAAAGTAAATAAGGCTGCTAGAATTTTTCAATTCAGGTTAAAGTTTATTTTAAAAAACACAAATGGAGATGGTGAGTATTACACTAACTTATCCATGTCACTAGTTTCTCCATAAAGAAGATGTCTGGAAATTTTCTCTCCTAAAAGGATTCAATGCATTTTAGTAAGCTTATTTAACACTGATTCTCTGTGTTATGCAACTAAATAGTCATAACCTGATATGTAGAGTTATTCGTTTGGATTTCTACTTATGTTACTTGATCAATACTGGATTTTCCTTCACTCAGTGCTTCAAGATGGCTCTAAAATGATGAGAGCACTCAACATGTTTGCTGCAGCTTTTGGCTGTAGACGTTATGTTTGGGAGGTAAATGAAGGAGAAGAGTCCCTTTGTGTGTTTCTGTGTGTCTGCAGCCAGAGACGGCCTTCAATGGCGTGCGACCCAAGAAGCCATTTACTTCATTAACCCCTCCAGATCAGCAAGGGCTCCGCAATCAGCCTCGTCACACGTCCCATTAACTTCTCCTTCTATCAGGATGGCCCTCACTCCTCCTGACACCCACTCAGTCACGCGTGCATCTCATTTTGTTTAGCAACACACAGCCGCGCAGTCTGCGTTTCCAAAGACCCCGTCCTTCTGCACTCTCAGATCAGCGCGCTCCCCTGCCTCTATGTTGGCTAACCCCATTACCTCTGCGGGTCCCAGGGGTCCCTCTGGCTCTGATGAACCCTCAGCTGCCCTGTGAGATTAGTGGACTCCCTGAGAAAATCCTCCTCATTGATTGAACGAACGCGAATCTCTCCTGCTCACAATGTCAGCTCAAGGTTGGCACTTCCACTCTCCTTCCCCTTCAGTCCTGTCAGGAGTTGCTACTTTGTCATTAATATCAGAATTATTTCATCTCTTGCCGCCTCTGCTGTTGTTTTTCACAAACCTGCTATTGACATTCACTCGTGTTTCCTTCCAGCACTTTTCTCCAACAGCCCCACTTAGTGCATTTATTAATCGTTAGGTAATTTCCCCCTCACTTCTTCCTCATCTTCCCATCTCCTTCCCTCTGCTGAAACTTTGTTGTAAAATAAAAACTTCAGCTTTTCATAAGGTGCTTTGAATGCTTGGATTCCCTTTTATGAGTTGCACATGGAATGAAGGAAACTGTTTTTTCACTTTTTTTTGGCATGCATGCACCCCTCTTGTGGAATAAAGGCTAAAAACGAGATGAGGGAGTAAGGCCACTTAGATGAATGACTGAATCTCTTTATGTTTTTATGCTGAACCTGACGAGCGTTGAATGATGCACCAGATTTCCTGTAGCGGTGAATAGAGATGAAAAGATTATCCAGATATTTGGATCGCTCAGGCAGGAAGGCTGCCCTGCACGCTGCTCCTTCCCTGGCCTTCCTCATAATTCAATATTTACAGTTTAGGCTGAAAACGGCTCCCTCTCGGCCCTCCAGGATCCAGTATCCATGGCAGCAGATTGGCGAGCAGAGGGCCTTCTTTGTGTGTCTGTGTGTTCGTGTTTCTGAGAGGGTAATCTCTGCTGATACACTGCCATTGATTGGTTGTTAGGGAGCAGCTGTTGACCCCTTGATCTCTGGGGTCTCTTTGTGCTTTCACACAGATCGCAGATCAATGCATGTGATGGTACACACACACATGCGCACACACACCTGATTTGCTATTCTAGCTGTATTTCAGGAGTCCTTTTCAAAATGAGAGAAATCAACCTAAATTTAAACGTGGCATTAATTTGAAGTTAAATCCCCGTGGCTGGTTTTATGATCATATTGGAACAAATGACTTAATTTATTTGACATAATTAAAATAGTTTCAGAACCCCTAAGGCTCCAGAACTGAGGAAACTTTAAATGCTGCCATTTAAAAATGATCATCAGAGTTATTTTTAGACATCAGGTTCTTGTGAAAGAAGTAGTAAAATTCACAAATATACATACAGATCGTAACACAATGCAGTGATTTGCAAACGTGATGATTCCCTGGTTACGTTGGGACCGCAAACTTCAATATACTTCGCTTGGATTATATGTGATAGAAAATGCATAAGTATGACATAATTGTGAACTGGACTACAAAGGACACATTTCACATTGCATGTGAAACTTTGAAAAGGCTGAACTTTACTTGTATTTGGTGCCCAGAGTCATCTTTGTTGAAGCACATTTCATTAAAATTGCTTCAGTTTTGCACTTCCACGGGAAAGAAAAAGTTGCCTTTCTTCTTTGTAAAATAGCTCAAACTCAGACAGAATGGATAACTGAGGCCAGTACAGTTTTCATGTCATGCCATAGAGTCCCAATTAACTAGGAGAGGACCTTTACTGGGCCACTTCTAATTCAAGGATGTGCTTTAATCTGAACCACCCCATTGTTGCTCTGCCTGCACATTTAGGTTTGTTGTTCTTCTTGCAGCATTGCCCATTCGCCAGCTTCTCTTTCTCTGCTGAAGAAAAGCATCCCCACATCGCGAGGCTTTCACTACCGTTTCACTGTTTCAGGGTGATTCTGTATTTATCACAGGAAAGGAGCACCTGAATGCAGTCAGGAAGAGGAATCATACTGAAAGGATAATGTTTAATAAAGTTATTTTGTTCAGCAGAATGGAAGGAGTAGCAAATGGAAGAACAAACATGACAAAACTTGAAAGCAAATCGAAGGATAAACAGGGAGATTATTGGAAAGGCGCTCAGGTGCATCTAACTGACTGCAAGTTGCAGGTTTGGGGAAAAACAGGAATATACAGAGAACTGATGGAAAACTGAAAATGAATGTCTGGTAAACACAAAAGACAAACATGAGGAACCCACTAAACAGAATAATTACACACAAAAATTGACCAAACTTCCAGTGTATATCCTTCTGGTTGTTTTTGTGATTAGAGTATGATAAGTATTTATTTCACAGACTATAAGTAGAACCATTACAATATTACCATATTACTATGGCAATATAGAAATGTGGAGAAATGTTAGATATATGCCATTTAATGGTATGTATTTAACATTCATAACAGGCATAATTCATAAAAAGAAGTGAAATAAGTATCTAAAGGGATTCAAAACAGGTCACGTATTTATAAATAGAACATTTAGTGAAATTTGTAAGAAGCAGTGACATTGCTGTGAAAACACTTCCTTTGAATCAGAGACTGCATCCATCTAAGCACACAAACACAGGAGGTTTGTGAATCTGGTGTATCTCAGCAGGGGAAGTGAAAAGTATCAGCACACGGGCTGCTGATGGCACTGCAGATTTTTAACTACAAGCTTGGAGTTGAGTGTTTACCTACTACTGACTTCAAAGAGCCTCCACCCTAATGAAACATCTCTCTGTGGGCGTTCTGCACAAACACACGCATACATGCACAGGGCTGGGCCGAGGAACTGCTTGTAACTGTGGTTCACCAAGGGAAAAAGGTCGTGTGAGGTCATTTGCATGGCTCTTCGGTGCTAAAGTAGGTTTCCAATGCATGGAAGGTCAGGTTTTGCATGGATCCGTGATACAAACCGAAGCTCTGATAGCGATGGAACAACTGCAGGTCGTTCACAGTGGTTTGATGTTGAGTTTTCCATCCTCCTTTTCTATTCTGACATATTAAGGGGAAATCACCAGCGCTCACATGCATGCACACAACACCCACGATTCAACAGAGCCTCTTAAGTCTCCCTCCATTCACCGACTGGGCCCCACGCGAACGCCCACCTTGTTTTACTCTGAATAAAACGTGTGGGCGATGTGAGATGTTGCAGCTTCTGTCTTACTGGGCACACAAGATAAATTGGAAGGAAGTGTACTGATGCTGTAAGGAATCATCTTTGCACGTCATCCCAGGGGTGCAAACTATTTCCTGTTAAGACAAAGGTGATCGTTTTATTTTTAGGTTAACTCATCTGTTAGCAGGAAGTGTTAAAGTCAAAACGCCCCCGGGGGTACGCACACATAGATACTAAGATGTGTTATCACTCATCAAAGGTCTGTTTTGTGGTCTCCTTGAAGGGAGTAAAGTTCAACCATTTAGTAATCTTGTTTGTATTTGTTTGGAGGTGAGATAATTTCCTCCAAAGATATGAGTCTATTATGATTTTATAAGACCACAGTAGACCAGCGGTGGCCTGTTTTGCTTTGTGACGTTTAATCTGCTCTGAACTGCAGGATGGTTTCTGGACTCTCTTCTGTCCAGAATATGCTGTTCTCCTGTCAGCAAAATATGGTTTAGCATTTTAATCAACAAGTCCCTGGAAAAGATGAGAACTGGAAGGCTGAATGAGAATGTCTTTGACATTTTCGTAATTCAACTTTGCGCCACATTTCAGCATCTGTCCATTAACTCCTTAAAATATGCTTTTATCAGCTCTAAAGCTGCACACCTTAGAAAGGTTGGGTTGATGGACGAGGATCAGGGGCAAGAAGTAAAACAGGATTCAGTTCATTGATTTTGCTTTTCAGCAACAAACAAATATCTATTGTTAAGTATAGTGGAGGTTCTGTGATGCTATGGGCCCCTTTCTCCCCCAAAGTTTAAAACAGTCATATAACATTTAGACTTATGGTTGTGGTGAGAGAAAACGCTGGAAAGTTTAAGAGTTTAATAAATTTACTAAATTACTGACTTTTTTTGTGAATGTTAGAAAAATCTACGTGTTCGGCATAATCAAATTGTTTCACTTCTATCTCAGCTATTTTCTGTCACTTTATGAAATTCAAAGCCAGAATGTTTTTTCATAATCACTCCTTTAAACGTGTACGTTTTTACTTCCTTACTCTGCTATTTTCATGCATCTCTATGAACCAGCTGAAGTAATATTTTTTTTCTATTACCAGCACTTACTCAGAGCCTTTCTGTGGACGCATGCTGTGCGCTGGAGCCTCACCTCTCATTTCCATTGCATTAAACTATCAGAATGTCTCTATAAGCTGTCCCCCTTGGAGAAAACTGGTGACAAGCAGGTGGACACAGAAACGAGGGACGTGCAGAGGCTGTTTGCAGCCAGAAGGAGGCGATCTCGCTCCTCCTCTTTCTCCTCCTCCTCCTCCTCCTCCTGTCCTCTGGTCCGCTCAGCTTGGCCAGAGCTTCCAGTCTGCTGGGTGAGATCATTACCAGACACCAGGCTCCGGGACCTGACATTCACCGATTGGAAAAGCAAAGAGAGAGAGAGAGAGAGAGGCACACAGGCTCAGAGAGCGAGAGAAAAGACTTGATCCAGTGCAGCCGGCGAGCTAACCCTGCGGTGTGCAGCCTCAGCTCCCCGCTCCTCCGCTGCACGGACACGGCTCAAAGCGCGCTCTGTTGTCGCAGAAAATCTTTTCCCCCCTCGTTTGGATTTTTTGACTTGTAGTCGGATGCGGGCTGCTTGTTTTGACTGCAGTAACAGAGCTGCTCCCCCTCCTCCTTTTCCACCTTCTTCTTCCTCTTCTCCTCCTCCGCCTCCTCCCCTCCTTCCAGCCGAGTAGCGGATTTGCGAGGGATCTCAGCGCCGACTCACCAGCGATCCCGCAAGGCACCGGGACACGCTCTCTGCACCGCTGCGGCTCTCCGGCTGCTCCCGCCTGCAGGAGACCCCGATCGGCTCTGCTTTCTGCCAGAACCTGGACACGACCTCCAAGTTCCCTGCTGGATTCTTCTTCCTCTTTTTTTTTCTTCTTAATCCCTATTTTTATTATTATTTTTTTTTACATTTTAAACATTTTTTTGCAACCTTGATTCTCATCGGATCGCCCGCAAGTCACCCCCTCCCGTCCCCCCCTCTTCTCGCTCCTCTCTTTCCAAAGCGCTTGTTGACGCCATTTTTCCCCGGGGTTTTCTGTCAGAGAAAAATCCATCCACATTTACTCCCCGGCACCGTTTGACAGCTCCCCAGGAGGCTGTCATCCCATCCGTCGCTTGTGTAAAAAAACAAAAAACAAACAAACCCCCCTAAAAAACGTGTCTCGGCTAAATGGATTGTAAATGATCTCGATGAAATATTCACACCTTAGAGCCGGCTGTGTGACAACGTTAGACATGGGTGAGTAGCCCCGCTTGACCGAGCACATTCCCGCACCTGAACGCGCCTCTTCTTCTGCCCGTGCCGCTGTTGGAAGCGTTTCTGGTTTTGTGCACGCAGACCTGAAGCGAGAGTCGTGTGCGCCTTCAGGTGCAGCTCGTCTCCAGCGCCGCTCCTCGCGGTGAGCGCGCTGAGAATGCTTGCAGTCACATGCCCACAGGAGTGAGCGGGCAGATTCACGCACGTAGGCAACCCAAACAGGGCTGCATCACCCGGGGAGGCAGCGTTTGTTATCGCTGGGTAGCACCTTGGCGCTTGTGCGGCTTTGATTAGGTCTCCTATACCGACGCAGGAGGAAAGGTTCACCTCACTCATCAAAAAAAAAAAAAAAAAAAAAATACCGCTGGTGGATCAGATATTGTCCTGCTGGGCTCTGCCTCCTGCGTCTTCATTTGACATTGATAATCCGTCACATTGTGCAGGTGGGGGAGGACGGGGTGTTTTGTTACTTTTTCAGGGTTTAAAGTTATACTGAGCTGATTTGGGCTCTGTTTGGGGTTGATGTGTTTGTTGTGGCGTTGTATTTTTGAGATATTTTTTGTGTGTGTGAAAGATTCCAGAAATCCAAACGCTTGAAGTCGTCTTTTCACATCTCTGCGACACTTTTGGTTTGCAAAGACGGTTCCGAATCCTCATTTGTTTTTTACTCTGCACAATATCGGTTGAACTTAGGTTTGGACTTTGACTAGGCCACCCTAACACATGCTTTGATCTGAACCGCTGTTTGGTCAGCCTTGTTAGTCTGGATTATCTTGCAGCCTCAGTCAAGTTTTCTTTTTTCTGGATGGTTCTGTTTTTAACTCCATCAACCAAAGAAAAGCATCTTCGCAGCATGACGCTACCTCCACCGTGGTGGAGGATGTGTTTGGAGCTGGTGGGGGTCAGCGTTAGTTTTCAACCCCACATGGTATTTTGCATGATGAAAGTTCAGAACGTTTAAGCTTGTAACTTCTTATGACTTTCTCTTATGCCACTCTAAACTAAATATCAACATATTCTCTCTCCTGAGTCATCCACACCTGCTGCTCCTCTGGGTTTAACACGACTCTCTTGTCTAGGTGGTTCTCTGATAAATGGTCAGTTCAGGTGGACAGCCGTGACCCGCAAGAGCTAAAACACAGCTCCCTTTAATTGCTCTGCAGAAGCTATTAGGATGACTGACTGCTGAGAAACACACAGCCAGAGGATAACAGTAACATTAAGAGGAATGAAATGAAACCAGAGTCAACCAGAGATCAAACTTTCCCCCAACAAACACCCAATCCAAGTGCATGAAACAAAGGATAAATATATCACCTCATGCCTACTCTTAAGTACAGAGTGGAGGTTTTGTGATGCTGTGGGCCACTTTCTGGCCTCATTAAAGTGCTGAGATATTTAAAAGAAATGTGGTGGCCTCTGTTGCCTCTTCATCTTTTAACAGGATAGTGATCAGATGCTGCAGCATCAGCTCTTGCTGATTACATGTGTTTGAACGAACGGCTGTGTGTGACATGTAACCTGATATGAATCCTGCATTGGATGTCATTTTCTTGCTTGTTGAGAAATAACAAAAGTATAAATACAAATACACAAACCACTGCAAGGATGTAGCTTGATTCATGTCAACGTATTTAGTTTCTGCTTCTTTCAGTCACAATAGCAAGTTTCAAACCTGGTTAAGTTTACTTATATGGAATTTCAGCTTTCACCCTTTGTGTAAAAAATTACTAAATTCAATATTTTAAAGTTTGACATGCTTCACAATACTTGCAGTCAGATCAGTAAACCTCACTTCTTTTTGAAGGACATTTAAAAATACGGAGCTTAAGTTCTCTTATTTAATTCACAAACCTTATAGTGAGTTTTATTGATAATGGATCATGGAAACAATCTCGACCATTTCACTTACATTGAAGTCAGTTCATTTTTAGCTTCTTAACACGAGGATCTCCTGACATTTCATTAGAATATGTCTGTCTTCACCTGAGTTCAGTGTGAAGGGTCAGAGGTGACACTAGGAAATGGGATTCAAGGTTCTGCTTGGCATTTATTGAGCAGAACTTTGATGTTTGTGGGTCTTTGGTCCAAGGAAATGTTCACCTCACTAATCAAACACTGCGCTTTAATCAGATGCTTCTTCTACTTCCTTCATCTTCATTTATCGTTGACAGTTCATCACACAGCGTCACATTTTGTGGAGCATAAAAACCCCACAGATGTTTCTGACTTTTTCGGGCTGTAAAATAACATTAAGTTCCTTCTGGTTGTTGAATTTACTATTTGTTCTGTTGGAGTTGCATAAACGAGTCCAAAAGTCCCAGAATCCAAACCCTCATGTACTCTTGTAATAAATCTGATTTGATCTGTAGTTTCCACTATAAACATCACTTTGTTGGCGCTTTTGGCCCCTTCGCCTCCTCCCTACGTGATGGAAACTATCGGGACTCCCAGAGAAAAGTAGGGTTGAAGGCTAATGATGAAGGATAAGTAGCAAAATGGGAGTCGGCCATAGACTGAGTGTTTTGGCAAGAAACGCCACAAATGAGTCAGGGCTGACACAAAGAATGAAAAGCATCTCATATCCATTGTACAGCATGGTGGGGGTTCTGTGATGCTGTGGGACTGTTTTTCTTCCAAACAGTGTGGGGCCTTGTTAAAAGTGAAATACATAAGAAATTCTTTGATAAAGTTAAAAAGTGATTAAAGTTAAAAAAGCTGCTGGGTTCTGTTCATTTGGTATCTTAACAGGACAGTGAGCTGAAAAGCATGACTGAGACATCACTGTCACTTTAAATCAGACACAAAATCAGTCGTCTTCAGTGGCCATCTCAGTCTGCCAACTCATTGAAAACCAGTGAATTGAGCCTAAAGATGAGTGCACAATAGATACATCATAGCATAAATGCATTACACCTCAGTGCAGAAATGTTAGAACATGCACGTTTCTTTCACTTTGTGCTCCCTGGATCAATACCCGGTCGGGTTTTCTATTTTCTGGGTACGAGAAAATAGAATAGAAATGAGTGAATAGTGGAGCCGCTGATGAAGTAGAATATCAGCCTTTCAAAAACTCCGGTCCGGTCCAGGTCCACCTGAAGGCGAGCGCAGCTGGAGGGTGGAGGGAGCGGAGCCGACGTTCGGCCACCTCTCCTGAACGTGGGAGTTGCGGAAGTGAGCTCATGTGGGTGATAAAGGGCAAGCAGTGCATGACCATGTTGAAGGTAATTTTATCGATCCTGTCTCGTTAGCACTTTCAGCTCCTCTCCCCCACTCAAAACAAGGCAGCAATTTCATCTCTTTTTTTTCTTTCTGCTCCCCGGCATAAAAAGTACCAAGCTGGCTGTTGTTACTCCCTATTAGGTAACAAGATGCCTGTGCCACCTTTAAATTAAAGCATGAGAAATCGATTAGGTGTATCCCCTTCTGGGCTGAGGACCTCAGGTCAAAATAGGATCATAGGGAGAGGAGAGGGGAGGGAGGGAATGTGAACGGGATCCAAGAACAAATCTAACTGTTGGCAGTCTCTGTGAACAGAATATCGGCACTGGAGCACCTTTTGGCAGAGCGCTCTGAGAGAAAGAGGGAGCGAAGTGGGTGGGTGGGGGTGAGGAGGAGGGCGAAGGAAAGTGGTAGCAGGGGGAGAAGAGAGGGATAGAACGGAGGTGGGGAGTGGGGGATGAGGTGAGGGGAAGGAGGAAGACAGTGGGAGAGTAGGGGAGGTGTTTTGTTTTTTTTTGTTTTTTTTGCTGACAGCCATTTTGTGGCTTCTGCTGCAGTTAAAATGGTTTAACATTCATCTGCTTGTGCAGGGTGTAGTTAGGTGAAGATGGGTTCCTTGCTACCTGGCATATGGTTTGTCCTGGGGATGTGTGTGTGTGTGTGTGTGTGTGTGTGTGTGTGTGTGTGTGTGTGTGTGTGTGTGTGTGTGTGTGTGTGTGTGTGTGTGCATCTCTTCATGAGCCAACTCCAAGGACCATCATTTTCAATTATGGCTGCCCCACATGTGGTGTTTTATGGTCGTCCTTCCTGCCACCTTACAGTCGAGCTCATGCATGTGCCATCCATGTTGAGCAGGCAGAGACAGGAGCGTTTGTTCTCGGAGTCATGATCTTTAGAATAATCCGTTTGATGGCTTCTTTCACCTTGCCGGTCATCCAACTTAGAAACTCGCTTCTCCGCTTGTTTGATTTGTGACCCGAGCCTGTCCAAGGCTGTCCGGGACCTTAAGCTGAATTTGATTTGGGGCCCCTTCAAACAACCATAAATCATCAGAGCCCACCTAATATCCCCTTTATATCATCCGTGTTCAAACATTAATGCACTACCCCTCTTGCAGCAATGCAGCCCTGTGAAAAGTATTTACCCCCTTACAGAGTTAGTTTGTTTGGCTTTTTTTGTTGTTTCAGATCACTAAACAAGTGTTGGCGTCAAACACAAAAGGAGGCAGAGTAAATGCAAGAAGAAGTTTTTGTTTTGTGAGGGAACAAATCTATAGAAACCAACCCAGCATTATGTGAGAAACTAACTGCATCTCTAGACCTTGCAGCTCATATCTGCTCAGGTCGACATTTGAGTTATTTTACATCGTTGTGGACGAGTTTTGGTCCACTTCACTGATCTTAATTCAGCCATATTGGAAGATTTTCTTTACCATCTCATTCAGAAGGAAGGCTGTACTTTGACTAGGACGAGGTCTCAAACTAATGGCCAGAAATTCCTCCTCAGGATTTTCATGTAGAGATGAGGATTCAGAGTTTTTTCAATGGCTGCTTCAAAGCAGCCCCTGACAATAATACCTCCGGCTCCATGTTTCGCTCTCATTAAGATGTTCTTTTTCTGAAATGCTGCTTTCGTTTTATGCCATGTGAAGAGAACACACACCATCCAGAGGTTTTGCCTCTGTCTCATCAGTGTACTAACATGTAATGCAATATGCACAGTGTTCACTTATCAAGATGCTTTTTACAAATGTGAGACGA